TGCAGCCAGAGCTGGTCGTAACCCGAAAAGTTCGTTAGTAGAGGCGTTCATATCCCGAGGTACCACTGTATAATCCTTTTTCAGTGTATACTGCCCAGTAAAGATGACACGTAACAGAAGCATCAGTTTTTAGCTTGCTCTATTTTAATCAATTTATGAAGATTAAAAACCTCTGTATTTTCAATAAAGTGCTTTTTTATTTAGGAATTACTATGTAATTATTCTAACAGCTTTCTTTAAGGGTGGTCCCATGCTTCCTGGGTAGATTCCTCATCCAAAGAAAAGGAAATTCAGATCAAAATCCATTTCTGTGGAGGAATATGCAAACCTGCAACTTCAATAAGCAGCTCATGAAAATGAGTTTATTGATTCTGCCCTACCCACCCACTGACCATCCTCCACTGCCCCAGATCCCAGTGACAAGAATGCAGGACACACAACTTAGTGCAGGGCAAAGACAAAGGTTTTCAGGACCAGGAGTTCTCCACATACTGATTATCAACATATAAATGCCATTTTTGTTCATCTTAAATTTTTAAAAACACTTATACTGCTGTTATTCATCTCCCTGTTTGGATCTGGTTTTGCAGACTTAGAACTTTCTGATCTGCATCCTTTAAACCAATTCTGGATATATCTTTGACCTGACAACCTGTATCTATATTTTGCTTTCTTGCTTCTTTTGAACTCCGGATTTCTTACTATTTTCTAATTGGCTTTCTCTAAGTATGTTATTACTGGAGCAGAAAATGACTCAGTGTTAATTAAACAATTGAGATAGGAACTAATTTCCGTGGTGCTTATAGTATATGTACAATGACACTATCTGCAATTTTCCAGCTTTTAAAAGAAATTTGTCTCTAAGAAGTTGGAAGCATTGCTTGGTTCTTTCTGAAAACCAGTCACATTTTCTGAGTTTTAAAAAGAAACTGAAGAGCTATGAGAAAACCCAATAGACAGTTATTTACTTACTGCCCTTATATCTCATGTTTCTCTTGGAGATCAAGGTACGTAGTACAATTTACAAAATGCATTGGTCTCTCATATTTCCCAGATACATACATAAAACTATACTTCTGCAAATTAACTGAAAAGTAATTTATCTGTACATACTTGCCTAAAAACAAATCTTTCATTCACCAGGCTCCTGTAATCAGAAGGAACAAAACCTCTTATTTTGTCCTTTTATTAGTAAATTCCATTATAAAGGAGAGATATAAAATGGTTTAAGCCTTAAGAACGCTAGGTCAGAAAGCTGTTTTCAACCATATGATTTTTTCCCATTAACAAAGCCTGTCTTAATGTCCATTTCTTCTCTTCTTTATTTGGTGTAGCTGCAGTGCTAAGGCAAAAGTGGGAATGAAAATATCTTAAGCATTTTGAAAAATGTTCGCTGTTTCAAGCTGTGTCACCTGCTGTTAAATTGATTTCTCAGAGGAGGGACCTGCGCATCCCATTAGCGCACAGATGGCAAGTGCGCAGAAGAGTTCTGCTTGATTCTGGAAAAAAAACACTCTCCATACAATAGTCTTTTGAATTGTTTGACATTTGTGTCAAGTTCCTCTCCTTGTTTCACCAGAAGCTCCAACGTTCTGCTTATACAACATAAATAGGTCCTGCTTGTGTGGATCAGTAGGCAGGAATTTAAACATCCCCACCTTGCATTGTTTTGTTTGAATATTCCTACATAAAGGATGGCATTTAGTTACGTGGTAGCCTAAATGGCTATTCTTAGCTTGTAGGATTTCGCACTGGGCTACTCTATCATATACCCTTGCCACTTAGCATGCCCAAGTCACCTTTCTATCCTACCATTCAGTGCTGTTAATCATCATAGAACCTGGATTCTGTCCAATGCCATTTCCCTTGGGGACGATTTGTGTGCAAAATAAGATGCCAACAGAGTTTCTAGCAAGGGCAATAAAATGGCACTCCAGAAAGATGAAGTAGGAGACTGCATTAAGATACAGATGTTGCAAAAAGTTAGCTACTGCAATGAGGAAAAAAATTTCAAGGGAACTTATGCCAAAAGGTAGCTAAATATTCATTTAAATAAGTCCAATGTAAGCTGGAAGAGAGATGCCCCATTTCTTCCTTCCCTAACCTGATCTGTTAGAATTACAACTCCCAGAATTCCTAGCAAACTGAGTGCCCTTCTGGATGGAGAATACTCGGAATTACTGCCCCAATCCATTTAAGAGTGCAGATTGAGGAAAGCTCTCTTAATATTTCCTTGCTCCCTGGCCAAGCCCAACTTACCCAAAAGCACAGCCTCTATTTTCAGGCATTTGTCCCTGATAAATTATTATCCCTAACATACCTTCTGAGAGGGATGGTCTTTTCTTAAACAACAAACTTCCCTTCCACTATTATTAGTATGCAGATCGTAAAAGAAGAAAGTGATGCTCCCTGCTTATCAGTGCACACAGATCTGTTCATTAATCTTGCTAAGTCAAGGTTTACCACTTATAGTGTCTTGATTTATTCAACAGCCTAAGCCAAAACAAACTAGCTAGATTACAAATGTGGGAGTCAAAGAAGTGAAGATAGTGCTCATGACCCCAGAATCACAGCTCCATCCTTTCATTCGTGCTTGTGATACTGACACATGTACAAAAGGCGCACGGCTTCAACTGCGTAGCAGTGACTGCCATCTTGACTCTTTTGATCTCAGCCTGCTTTATTAGAGACAGATGCAGAAGAGACTGCTGTGGACTGAGTAAGGACTAACAGTGCGGGCTGCCAAGGTTTCAATATTCTAATAACGGTACCCGTGCCATTAACAAATGTGAGATGCACAAGTGACATTAATCCATCGTGGTGTGGAAACCACAACCTAGAGCTAAGCAGCAACCACCAGTTAACATACAGATACGTTTGCTTTCAGTAGCTTGTTTTACCAGAAAAGGATCAAATGGTCCTTGGTGGGAGAAAACAGATGAGCCCCCCAACCTCCACAGAAGAGGCAGCGTGATGGATCCAACCCTCACTTAAAGGCTGCACTGAACCACTTCCAATTAGGGCACCAGCTTATGCACCTCCTTACCCATAACTGGCTACTCCTGGGAAGAAACACCGATTTAATGACGCTGGTTTACTTTACAGCAGTGTTTTTCAACCTTGACAACTTTAAGAGGCCTCCCCTCCCCCCCCCCGGAAGCAGAGTGAGCCAAAGGTGCTATATGCTAGCCTCAATGTCTTAAACTAAAAAACGTTTCAGCCAAACGGAGAAGCAGGGCTTTCCCTGCTGAAGAACCGAAGGCCACGTAGTCTGGGCCTGCTGGAAATTGTGGCCACAAGAAAGCTCTTAACTCGTAGCGAGATGGACAGAGGAGCAGCAAATATTGTGGAGTCCTTGGGGTTCTCTGAGCGTGGCTGCTTCCTTG